TCAAATCTGCCATTACGAAGATCTTATTAACGTAATTATCCAATCGACGCAATTTTTCTTAGTGTTCGGTCTTTGTATTCTTTATTATAGCGAACTGGTGGAGAGTTTTCTGATAAAGTGGTTGAATGTCATGGTAATTCACATCATGATATTCATTAAACTTAAAATTATAATTAAAAATTACCTACAATTTGTTGCTTGGTGGTAATTATTTTGTTGGTTGCTACCTTATTTTACGTATGTTCAGTGTCTATCTAACGTAACTTAGTTTAAACAGTAGTGGAAACTGTTTTGGCCAGTGTTTGTTTTATATGTGTTATTAATGAAATGTATAATATGACGCTGTATGTTTCCCAAATAAATAAAATAAAAATAAAATAAAGTACTTGGATTACGTTTTTACTACTGCGGTATCTATCAATCGCTGAGAATATAACGGAACTATGACATGTTGACAGACAATTCGAGCGCATCCAAGTAGAACCCTTAGATGAAGTAGAACGATGGTTCCCAGGCTGAAACCGTATACTATTGTCGAGGTTGTACCTGCCCTGGCCCCACACTCGCACGAATCGTAGCATTATAATGAAATAGTCAAACCGAATACCCATACAACGTTGTTGTCCTTTTGCGGGTTACTCTTTTTTCTAGTGCCTTCTTCGACTGTAAGGTTCAAGGTGGTAGTAATGAAATGGCATATTTTTTGGTAATGACAAACACCCGTGCGGTCGCGAGGGTAATTAACGCCAATGAGAAACAACGTAGTTTTCGCATGAGAACGGATATTTTTTCATTATGGACTCATACGAAAGCTCTCCAAGGAGCGTGAGTTCGTTTGTGTAGAGATGAATTACTGTTATCCCTCTACTATGCTTGAAATTGTATGACCTTCGCCGAGGCCAAATTGATTTCAAATTGATCTAAAAGATCACACATTTCTAAGCCTGACATTTAAAAGAATTTACAGGTATGCAATTTCCTATGTTATTGCTTTTACACACAATAGTTCAAAGATAATCACAATACAGTCAGTTAAAGTAGACTACATAGTTAAGGAATAGTATTGCAACGATTCTGATAAAGATTTCCAACAAAATTACCTTACGATATTTATGTGACCTTTGTGCAGTGATAAAATGGGATGCAATCAACAGTTTTTTTTTATCTTACAATATAGAAGATAATTAGATATCTTACCCAATATGCTAACAAACCAAGTGTGAATAAAGAAGTGAACGATGCTGAACTCCTTCATCACCATCCCACCTTTTTATAATCCTCTTTTCTGATTCCTGTATTTTTACAATTTTGAATCGTTCTCGAATTCTCTCTTCCTTCGCTATTCTTTGTTGTATCCGTCGTCACTCCCATCTAAAATTGTAGAAACGAGAGGATGTGCCTTTTCTCTGGTAAATTTATACTGTTTGAAT